CTTTCTAATTATGAAAATATTTAGCAATTCTCTCCCCAAATATAAGTGATTTGAAATATATATATATATATATATATATATGTTTTACATTTAAAGACAGATGTTTCTGTTCTCCTACAAAGCATTTCTGTCAAAAACTGATGCTGAGGAATTGCTAGGTTACAGATTGATTTATAGCAAAGTACTTATATCTTACCTGAATGACCACATCTCAGATACAAAGCAGGGAAGTGGAACTAAGTGCTCCAAGTTTAGCAGAAAGAACATGAAAATTATATTTAGTGATGTACAGTTAACTAATTTATTTAAAATTAATTTGTGGGGTTTTGGTGCCGCCAGCAGGCCAATCTGTACCTGTGAGGGGAGTGCATCAGTAGCCTGATGGCACCGTCAGACTTTCAGATACTCCAAAATTGTTCCTGTGCCTTTGGCCAGACCCCAAAAACTTGGGGCAAAGTTTAGCAAAAGTTAGATATGTGGGACACACACCCACAAACTACCTCCGGCTCAGCTATATAATTGGAGGCATGGCCTCTCTGGTTCCTAATTGAACTGCTTAACAACTATGATCCCAGAGACTCAGAAACAAATCTCGGAACCCAAAGACTATTGACAGAAGTGTGTCCTGTTGCTGCAGTAGGTTACTGGGGCTGGGCCACTCCTGGTGGGAATAGGTTTCGTGCCTTGGCCTGTTCCCCTTGGAAGCCTGGTGGCCGCCATCCTCCAGAGGCCAATGGACAGTCAGGTTTGGGCCTGCAGTGACGAGACACGTGGGGCCTCACCAGATGGGGGTGGAACCGGCCCTTTCCTCCCCATCCCAGGAGAACCCTACTCGCTACCCACAAACGGCCTCTCTGGCTCCTGATCAAGCTGCTTAACGGCCATGATCTCAGAGACTCAGATACAAATTTTGAAACCCAGCGGCTTCTGGCAGAAATGCATCAGGACCGCATACAAGGTGGTCGCCATCTCAGAGCTTATTGAAAAGCCAGGTATGAGCCAGCGGTGACGGGGCAACTGCAGTCTCATGGGAAGGGGGGCGGTACCGGCTCATCCTTCACACCCTACCAAGGTTACGAGTTGCCCCCCACAAGTGGCTCTCTGGCACAGCCATGGCTCCAGAGACAAAAGGACTTAGTCCAGAGCCCGACAGTTTGCGGCAGAAAAGTGAATGAACCATGTGTTAAACTATAGAGCCATGCCTGCCCAGGAGGGAAGGGGTGTTGCTCCCTTCCGCCTTCTTCCCCCTGGCATCAAGGTGGCCACTACCTCAGAGCTTATAGGAAAGCCAGGCATGAGCCAGCAATGACGGGGTAACTGCAGTCTCATGGGAAGGGGGGCAGTACTGGCTCATCCTTCATGCCCTACTGAGGTCATGAGTTGCCCCCCACAAGCGGCTCTCTGGCACAGCCATGACTCCAGAGGCAAAAGGACTTAATCCAGAGCGCGGCAGCTTGCGGCAGAAAAGTGAATGGACCATGCATTAAGCTACAGCGCCATGCCTCGCTGGGAGGGAAAGGGTGTTGCTCCCTTCCACCTTTCTCCCCCCCTCCCGCCCCCTGGCAGCAAGGTGGCCGCCGCCTCAGAGTTTATTGAAAAGACAGGTATGAGCCAGCAGTGACGGGGCAACTGTAGTCTCACGGGAAGGGGGACAGTACCAGCTCGTCCTTCACACACTACCGAGGTCACGAGTTGCCCCCCACAAATGGCTCTCCGGCATGGTCATGGCTCCTGAGGCAAAAGGACTTAGTCCAGAGCCCAGCAGCTTGTGGCAGAAAAGTGAATGGACCATGCGTTAAACTCCAGCGTCATGCCTCCCCAGGACAGAAAGGGTGTTACTCCCTTTTGCCCTTTTCCATCCCTGGCAGCAAGGTGGCCACCGCCTCAGAGCTTATAAGAAAGCCAGGTAAGAACCCCTGGTGACGGGGAAACTGCAGTCTCATGGGAAGGGGAGCTGTAACGGCTTGTCCTTCATGCTCTACTGAGATCACGAGTTGCTCCCCACAAGAGGTTCTCCAGCACAGCCATAACACCAGACGTACAGAAAACAATCTCATAATTATCTGGCTCTTTGCAGACATCCAAAATCATGTGGCTGAGATAGCGGCTGCATGACATTATATGATTCTCATAACCAGCTATAGAAAACAAGTTATTTCACAATGCCTTTTCAGAAATTCTGATTGTTGGGGGGGGGGGAAATTCTAAACAATAATGGTGCATCTTTTGTCGAAATAATGAATATAATCAATGTAGAGAAGAGTTAAGTGGAAATCATCTGCCTCACAGGCATTGGGAGGGGTGGGGGGTATATTGGGGTTCTTGGTGGTGAAAAATGAGTACTGCTGAAGGGAGAGGTGTTTGATCATTGTATGACTGAGACTTAAACCTGAAAGCTTAGTAACTTTTCCCACAGTGATTCGATAAATAAATACAAGAAAAAAAATAAACTATGAAAAAAATAAAAATTAAAATTAATTTCAATATTATTTTTATTTTTTTCATAGTTTATTTATTTTGAGAGCTTGTTTGGAGGTTCTAGCAGGGGAGCGCAGCTACTCGTATACCCTTGACCAAAGACCGGTCTGTCTCTATTCGGGTAAGGCCGTCCTCTTCAACCAAGCGCAAAGCTTCGGGAGGGACACACATGGAGTGTTGAGGGAGGAAGGGGACGCCCGCCTATCAAGCCAGATCAGCTGAATCAACCCTGGCAATCAATGGGGTGAGAGAAGTCGCAGCCAGATTGCACTCACATCCACATCCTGCTTGGATTGGGGTTGAGCATCCTCCACCCAGATCCTCCAAATTCCAGTAGGCAGGGGTTACACCCACCAACTGGCCCCCTGGCGCCGTGTAATCCCATCAACAGCCAAGACTCAGAGACTATAAAACCCAGCTCCCAGAAGCGTGCATTTGCGGCTGTGTGACATCTTATTATCTCATTCCTACTTTGGACAAATTGGCAAGCTACCAAATGTAACCTTCCCACACAGCAGAGTCTGGCAAACTCCCTGTGGCATACCCAATATGCCAAATACCAGTAACAATGATGGGTCTCATTCTCCTAACCCTGAAAGAGCACTTTTTTAAAAATCTCAGGGCTAGGACGCAGGAGACATTACTGGGGCCTGCTTGAGGCAATCGACAAACAACAGGATGGTCGTGATCGTCGTGGTCGTGAATTGTCATAGTGGTCCATTCTGTATCCTAACTGCCCTATCCTCTCACCACTTAAGGTAAGCTTCCAATAGTTGGGCCTAATTTTTAAGAGCCCTAATTAGAAGGTTCTAGTAACAATCTCTTGTAAGCAAGTTAAAAAGAATATCTGTTTATATCTCTGTGTATGGGCTGGAGCGATAGCACAGCGGGTAGGGCGTCTGCCTTGCACGCAGCCAACATGGCCGACCCGAGTTCGATTCCTCCGCCCCTCTCGGAGAGCCCGGCAAGCTACCGAGAGTATTCGATATGCCAGACACAGTAACAACAAAGTCTCCAATGGAGACGTTACTGGGCCCGCTCGAGCAAATCGATGATCAACGGGAGGGCCTTTACTTTACTTTAGCAAATCTCTGTGTATATACCAGTTAAATTATACTCCTAAGAATTCTAAGATAATAAAAGATCATTCAGTTAACAGTAACGTTTCGGTACATGACTCATATTTAAAGAGTTTGCACTTTGGGGGCTGGAGCAATAGCACAGCAGGTAGGGGGATTGCCTTGCATATGGCCAACCAGAGTTCGATTCCCAGCATCCCATAGCGTCCCCCTGAGCACCACCAGGAATAATTCCTGAGTGCAGAGCCAGAAATTGTAATTCCTGTACATCACTAGGTGTAATCCAAAATAATAAATAGTTTGCACTTTGGAACTTATCTTCCCTTCAGCTTTCCAGATTTCAAAAGGAGGTCTAAGATCAGTCCTACAGATCAGTTCTGGTACCAGAACCAAAAGAAAGATAGGGAAATTGTTTCCGAAGACAAATGATATATTTTGAAGAAGGCCTATTTAGCACCAATTAGTCTGAGAGGCAGTGGTACAAATGCACAGGAAAAGGGACTCACACTGACTATAAATGTTCTACTATTGTATCCTTATGTATATATGCATTATACTCATGCAATTATGCACATATTAATATTACTATTAACTGGATGATCATTTAGTATCTTAGAATTCTTATGGTATATAGTAGTATACCTACTACATAATTCTCTCTTACTGCAACCAATTTTGTCACTTCAGCTCAAATCTATAACCCATATTTTCCTTCTATGTCTCATTTAGGTTCCATTAAATTTATTTTGACAATTTGTTTCATAAGTGTATGATCTTCTTCAGCAGGATGGGGAAAGACAGAAAGTTAGCAAAAACATATTAGGGGATCTCCGTCTCAGGGGAAATCTTGTAAAACTAAATATGTAATTCCGTTTTTTTTTTGTTTGTTTGTTTTTACTGCATGGATATACACAATGCTTAGCACTGAAAACACAAAGTGTATGAAGTATAAATATATCATGTTCTGAATTACAGTGAGGTTTTATGAAAGCACTAAACCTAAGCTTTCTCTATATTTGGTTGTGTACCTTCCTGTTTTAAGTGTCCAGGACAGGAAGCTTCTTGCAATCTAAAAGGTCGGAGCCACTTTGCTTATTTTGCAGAATACGAGACTGGAAAGAAGAATTCATACACTTTTCAAGGTCATACAAAAAATCGAGTCACACTTCTTGAATGCTTCACCACCAAAACAATAGATACTGAGGTTTTCTTTCTTCTGAATACACTTCAGGGCCACCGCCTGACAATGAGAAACAATTCTGTTTCTATACCATAAAGAGGGGTCAATCTAATGTCTTTTAAACAGATGTTTTATAGCAAAGAACCTGAAAAATGGAGGCTTCAGACTCCATGGAGACTGTTCAAGGCAAAAAGCTTTTGTCTTACACACTTATGTGTGCCATGTCCTAGATGCGAGAATACTGTCAGTTCAAAGTGACTTACCCAAATCTGAAGCTTGATTCTCTTTTCATTTTTGAATACAGTTTTCACTTTGAAGTCAATCCCCACTGTGCTGACAAATGCAGATGTAAAGGAGTCATCTGCATAACGGAACAGGAAGGATGTTTTCCCCACGCTGCTATTGCCGATGATGAGCAGTTTGAACATGTAGTCAAAGTTCTGATCAGAGGAGTCTTTCTGGCCATACCTGGCATCTTGAGAAGAAGCCATCTGTGGTGGAAAACAAAAGAGGTGTGGATGAGTCTCCCATCTGATATAAAGCTAGCAGCACACTCATTATTGGCCTTGCCAGAAACAGATGTCAAACCACTCAGAAGGCAAGTTGAGTGTGCTCCCCGGTCCTCCTCTGATGCTGGTAACCATGGCAATAATTCCCTGCTGGAAGGCAGAACAGCAAATCGTGCAGTTCTTTCCAGCTGTGTTGGTGTTTGTCACTGTTCAGCATTCAGAACCAATCAAAGACACCAAAGGAGATGTCTAGAAGGGTAACATAAAAAGCAGAGACATGAAGAACTGTCTGGGGCATGGCAAGCACCAAAACTTTATGATCCTGGTGATAGACACCAGTGAGGCTGAACAGCAGGGCATCGCTTACTGAATTATTGGAATATTAGTCACTCTACTTTCCAAGAGGTATATCCAAGCATATCTCCATTTCATCTATTAACATCACATTAAATTAGCATCCAAAAATAAAATGCACTCTATCAAAGGAAAAATAACTATGGCAAATACTTCTGTTCCAGGAACTGTTCATTTATTTAATTGTCATAAAATCTTATGGTGTCAGTGCTGTTATTACTTTCAGATGAAAATGAGACCACTGAGGCCAGGGATATTAAATAACTTGCTCAAGTTAAATCAGGTGAAATGTAGTAGAAACCAGACATAATGGTGCCACGGCACATGCTTTTAACAAACATTTTATTTCCCAGTGATGACTTGGAAATAAGTACTTGTTTTCTAAAGGATAATGGGGAGAAAATTCAGGGTGAGATACTTCAATGAAGATCCCTATGGGCTTCAGACCTTGGCTCTGCCACTTACTAAATGTGCCTCTGGATTTGTAATTTTGTTTTTAAAATTCTAGTAGTATTCATGGAGCTCTGGACCTACTCCTGGTGATACTAGTGAGGTTCTGATGATCACTCATTCAGAACCACAAAGACCGTGCTGGTGTGTATTCATTTTTTGGAGCAAGTATCAGGAACATCCCAGAAATGCTCAGGGGCCAATGTGGGTGCACCCAATAGTGCCTGGGTGGCCATGTGGTGCTGGGATCAAACTCAGGACATCAAACATGCTTGGGTTGTAATCCACCACCTGAGCTATCTCTCTCTTCCTGGATTTGTTATTTTAAGTGGGTATTCCTCAGTTTCTTTTTTCTTTTTGGGTCACACCCGGTGACACACAGGGGTTACTCCTGGCTCTGCATTCAGGAATTACTCCTCGCAGTGATCAGGGATGCTGGTGATCAAACCCTGGTCAGCCGCGTGGAAGGGAAATGCCCTACCCACTGTACTATCTCTCCAGCCCCTCTTCAGTTTCTTGTGTTAAATTAAATAGGGAAAGTGTTATCTAACTTGTATCACTTGTCGAACTAAAAGATAATATTTATGTGAAGCATATATATAAAGTTTTAATCATAAAATGGAGAATAATATCTATATCAATTATATGCGCTTTAGAAGGTTTCTTGTTTTGGGGGGGACCACACTCAGCAGTGCTCAGGGATCATTCCTGGAATACTTAGAGGAGTATATGTGAATAGTATCATTTCATTTCTGATTATCGTCTCTGATGCTTTGAATTTATCTGCAATCGCTATGCTGTCCAATACAACAGCTGCTAATCACATATGCCTTTTTATATAAAATTTAATTAGAAGTTAAATAAAATTTAAAAGTCAGCTTCTCAGTCATACTAGCTACATTCAAATTCAAAATATCCCGATATGCCCATTGGCTTTGAACTGGACAGCACAGGTAGTGATCACTGATGTAGTTATGGAACATTCTGTTTGACAATGTAAAACCAGGTAGTCTTTTTCTTTTTCTATAAAATGTGCTTAATTATCATATGGAGAGGTGGAAAAGTCCCAGTTGATGGTGGAATGCTAGAAATATAAGAGGGCTCAGCCTCATTTACTAATTGTATTCCTGAAGCAAGGTGTAAGATGTGTATGTGTGTGTGTGTGTGTGTGTGTGTGTGTGTGTGTGTGTGTGTGTGAGCAGTGTGTTTCCAGAAAACCGATGGGAGGGTAGAAAAGGAGGATAAGAGGCAATATATTCCCCATCTGAAATATTTATGATAAAGAAATGCAATTACATGAATAAAACAACTATATTACAAAATTTTAGGCATATGACACTTTCCTATAATATGCATAAGACTTCTTATTCCCTCCCCTCACCACTCATCTTCCCCTTTACCCTTCTCTTCCTCCCCTTTCATATCTTCCCTCTACTCTCCTTCATTCCTCTCCCCTTACCTCTCGACTCTCTTCCCCTCCTTTCTATATTTTTAGGTCATATCCAGCTTTGGGTTATGGGCTAAAAAAATATCTCCCATCCTGAGCACTCTCCTTATAAGCCCACATAACCACTGTGATGTCTTTAGTAATTGTGCCAACTTTGTAATAAGTTCTTGCCTGGACACAAAATGGGACCACTGAGACAGGCCCATATCACTTTCCTTACTGGTCCAGGAGACTATACACTAAGGAAAAGCTATCCTAACACAAGCATCCAGCCAATGACAGAAACAGAATTAAAGTTCTTGACTTAAAGTTTGAACAATGAGTTGCTCTGATGACTTCTGATATTTGGCACATCCATTTTTACATAATCTTCTACCATTAATCATTCACTCTTAATGAGCTAGCTTCAACTAGGCCAGCAAACCTGGTTGGTTTTTTTTTTACTGTTTTGACTATTGTGTGGCGCCACTCCTGCATCTGTGCTCAACTCTGTGATTCTCAGTCCAGCAATGTGTGTGGGCATCACCGAGGCCACTTCCAGTGGTGCTGAGGGGCTCATGCTGGGCTTAGGCTCATGCTGTGCCAGAACCTTTCACACACAATGCTTGAATTGGTGGAGTACATGAGCCACATTCCTGGCTCCTTTTCACCAATTTTTTATGAACTCTCTGAGATCCTAGATTCTAGATTCAGAATGTTCAGTGTAGCTAGTTATGAAATAGATATTGTTTCTTAAGTCTGTTCACTTAGCCTAATAGCCTGCCAACCAAGTTGATATTCTGAGTGCTGTGGATATCCAAATTGTTTCAAAGTAAAATGTGATTAAAAACAACACATCTATCTATCCCTTGTATTATTCCAAAATTGGACTGGAGCGATAGCACAGCGGGTAGGGCATTTGCCTTGCAAGCGGCCAACCTGGCCGATCCGAGTTCAATTCCTCCGCCCCTCTCGGAGAGCCTGGCAAGCTACTGAGAGTATCTTGCCGGCACGGCAAAGCCTGGCAAGCTACCCGTGACATATTCGATGTGCCAAACACAGTAACACCAAGTCTCACAATGGAGACGTTACTAGGCTTGCTCAAGCAAATCGATGAACAATGGGAGGACAGTGCTACAGTGCGAGTGATGCCACAACCTAAATAAATAAAGACGGTCCTGTGATCATTACAGTCTTCCCGTTATTCATTGATTACAAAGGCACTGATAGAAGCAAAGAGGTGCTTAAGATGAGGGAACACAGGCCAGAGAGACAGTACAGAGGTTAAAGCGTTGCCTTGCACATGGCCTGTCCCAGTACCACATTGTTCCCTGAGCACAGCTGGGAGTATCTCCAAACACCTCAAAGTGTTCCCCCCCCTGCAGAGAAAGAAAAACATGAAGTAAGACAAACATAGGAGATGTGTGCTCACAGATCCCTTAAAGCAGCATTTCTTAAACTTTTGCTGGCTCTGGCCTCTTCCAACCTTGTGTCCTCCCTGTGCCCCCACTGCACCTGTCCTAGCTGTTGGAGTTCATACTGTGGCTCCCCATTCATGTCATTTTTACCTGTGAACCCTCTAACATAGTCACATGGACCTGGTTGAGAAACACTGGTCTAAAATATTAATTAAAGAATCTTCCACCTTGCAATTCTTAAAGCTGTTTTTGCACTATTTTATGATTTATATTCCCAATAAGATTCACAGAGAGCCAAAAGATGCATACCAAAAAGGCATATTTTCATTATTAAACTCAGAATAATGAAATAAATCAGAAGATAGTTGTGAAATATGGTTATAATGAAATATTTCAGAAGATGGAGAGATTGTTGTAATATTTCGGAGGACAGAAATGAAGCAAACTGACAACATATAAATGCCACAGAGACTATAAAGAACTGCTATTTAAATTTACTAATATTTTTAATTACAAAGACAGGCGAACATTTTCAAGAGAAAATATTGCTGAAACTTAAAAACATTAGTAAACATGAAATAATATCTCAGGGGAAAATCAGCTTTCATTTTATATATACATATGTTATTAAATATATATATAACTCTTTGAATTACATTATTTTTGAGTGAATTTTTTAACAGAATCATAGTGCAGGAAGGATATTTTGGAAAGTTTAACTTTCTATTTATCCCTAGAGTTCCTCTTACCAGCAACTTAGCATCTCAGGATAGTATTCTAACCTAAATGACAAAAATTCTAGGGAGCTATTTCATTGCTGAGCTAACACAACTATATATTTATTTCTTGGATCTGAGTTAAAATATACCTCACTATACTCTGCCCCTATGATCCAGATTTGGCCTTATGAATCAAGAAGGAGCTAATTCCTATTCCATGGAAGAATTTCAGGTATATGAAGGACCATTCACAACTCTATAAGCTTTTTGTTATCTTGATTGGATGATCCCAACTTCTGTAGTTTCCAGGACATGCACGAAAATATCCCACCCATCCTGTGAAGTTAAAATTGACACCTTTTCAGATGTCAAAATTTAGGCTAGCACAGTTGGCCATGATATTACAAATATTTTTATAGATAGTAAAGAATAAAATAAAGACTTTCATATATTATTTTGTTGTTGTTGCTTTGGAGCCTTGCTCAGTGGTGCTCGGGGATTACTTCTGAACTCATCAGTCCACAGAGTGCTCAGTGGACCATCTAGGGTATTATGGATTGAACCTGGGTCATCCTCATGTAAGACAAGCAACTTGCCCCTTGTACTGTCTCTCTA